GGGTGGGTGTGATGGGCCAGAGAACGGTTGCCCAGTGTCCCTTGGCTTGGAGTGGCCAAACTGCCACCCTGAGAGCCAAGGACATTGGGCAGCCGCTCTCTGCCCAGCCCACCTGCACCCCAGCCCCATCTCTCGGCCTCCCCCAGTCCCCACCAACCCTCAGCTTCAACCGTGGCACAAGGGAAGCTGGCAAGAGAGGCTCTGGGGGTGCCCAGGGCTGCTTGGATGCCCCAGACCTTCCTAGGGCCTCCCTGCCAGCCTCCCTGATGCCATGGCTGGCTCCTGGCCTCTCTCCCCCCTCCTGAGGGTGACCCACCATGCAGAGATTTTCTCTGTGCACCCATTGCTATAAGCAGGCATGCACAAATGTGTATTATTTGAAATTAACTCCAAGATTTGGAATAAATTGTGCACACCTGCTTAGAACAAGGGAAGGAACTGCAGACTTGACTCAAGACACACCTGGATTTTCTGGCTCACCTGCCTAGGTGCTGGGGAGTTTGGGGGAGGGAGCATGCATGACACCCAATGAAGCACAAGACCTTACACATAAAAAGTTTTCAACTTGGACAAGTTGTGCAGACTTCTAACTAGAGCTAACTAGAGTCCACCCACCTAAGTTTGCCAAGGCCAAGAACCACTGGAGACCTAAAATGGGGGTCTTCAAACTTGACAGCTTTAAGACTTGTGGACTTCAACTCCCAGAATTCCTCCTCCAGTTGTGTTAGCTCAGGAAATCTGGGGGTTGAAGTCCACAAGTCTTAAACTTGCCAAGTTTGAAGACCCTTGATCTATCTCTATCACCTATCAATCATCTATATCATCTCTCTATCCTCTATATCGGGGCTCTTCAAACTTGACAGCTTTAAGACTTGTGAACTTCAACTCCCAGAATTCATGTTAGCTCAGGAATTCTGAGCCAAGCTTTGCTGGCTGAGGAATTCTGAGAGTTGAAGTCCACAAGTCTTCAAGTGGCCAAGGTTGGGGACCTCTGCTCTAGGGCATCCTATGGAGATAGGATTCTGCCCCCTGTGTGAAGAACTCAACACAGAAGCCAGAAGAATTGGAGACCCGACACCTGCAGGGCCTGGCACTTGTCCCAAGTCCCAGATTTCTGAACACAGAACTGAGAAGAATTGGGGGCCACCACCAAGTGAAGGCATGGAGCTCTCTGGTCTCCAAAGAATGGTGAACTTCAGTTTCCAGAAGTCTCCAATCCACGGGATGGAGAACGGTGGGAACTGAATTGCAGCTATCTGGTGCCTTGGGGAGAAAGGGGACATCTTAAGCTTCTCTAGCCACCATTGCTAAGGATTCTGGGAGCTAAAATCCCTCCCTTTGAAAGTTGCACCTTTCAATGGATGGACTACAGCTCCCCAAACTCTTAACTGTTTTAAATGGGAGTTGAGTGGGAACCATCTAGTGCCTTCCACTCTGGAGGACTCCAATTCCCATAATTCTGAGAGTTGAAGTCCACACCCTTCTAAAGGCCAATTGGCTTTCTGAAAGCAAGTCCAGACCTACTTGGGGGGAGGTATAGATGACCCTCTTAGATCAGGGTTTCCCACCCTTAGCAAGATGTGTGGATTTCAACACCCAGGATTCCCCAAACCGATTGGCTGGGGAATTCTGGGATTTGCAGTCCACACACCTTCAAGTTTGAAAAACGCTGATCTAAGTTCTTCCAACACCTCAACTCTGTCCAAACATCTGAACTTGCTCTACACGATCCTACCAGATAAACACTCCTGGTCCTAAAGGCTGACAACAGCCATGATTCCTTGACCCTACCAGCCACAGCTTAAAACTTACCACTTAAATCAAATTTACCACTTAAGGGCTCTTGGGCCTCAAGAGTATCTCCACAAACCACCAAACATTGTTAGCCAACCTGAAGACTTAAGACTCCCTTTACCTAACTTGCAAATTACAGAGAGATCCTGGCTACGTTGTGGATCAATAATAATAATAACAATAAGACTTGCTAACTCCTTATCCACTCACAACCAACAATAAGACTTGCTAACTCCTTATCCACTCACAACCAACAATAAGACTTGCTATCTCCTTATCCACTCACAACCAACAATAAGACTTGCTAACTCCTTATCCACTCACGACCAACAATAAGACTTGCTAACTCCTTATTCTAGACCTGATCTGTCCGGTGACCTCAAGCAACAAGTGTGTGTGTGTTGGGGGGGTCTCAGTTCCTGGTGGGCACCACACAGGCGGCGAAGAAAGGCGTGCGTGGGTCACAATGCAGTAAAAGCCGCAGGGAAGAACGTTTCTCCATCGGGATCTGGCCGTTTTGCCCGCTGCGGTTTCGGTGCAGAGCGATCCAGGCCTCCGAAAGAAATGCACAAGAGGCTGTTTTTACAAGCCGAGAACCGACACACACGATCCCTTCCCATACAGAGATAAAAATAAGAGGAATTGGGGGGAGTGGGGGATTCAAAGCATGCATTGTGCTGCCAGTCCAACTCTTCCTGCTGTTGTTTGGTCCCAAGAGTTTTAAATAAGGTCACTTGCAGGAAAAGAGCCAAGCCACAAAATGTGGTGGCACGTTGGTCTTCCATCTCTCCGTCTCCAGCGCTGGGTGGGTGGGATTGGCCTCCAGAAGAGGAAGGGGCAGCATGGAAGGCTGGCCTGGCTTTTTAATTTTTAAAGTAGGTTTTATTTTGAGATGGTTTTAAGAACCCCCATTATTATTATTCTAAAGAGGCAGGGTTTTTTTTCCAGCCATCATGGTCTTTTTAGGCTCCCCTGCTGGAGGACAAAATTTCCTGGAATTTCCCTCCAGTGCCCTCAGGACCAGCTGGAACAATGCAGCCCCTTCCTCAGCCCTCCACAAGTGGCAACAGCTGTCCAGTTAACCCCCCAAAAAATCTGTCCATCCATCAGTCTCCATCGGAAAAATCCAAGTCTTCCACCACGTCCTCTTCTCCTCTTGCCAGCTGTTGCAACTCTGCCCGAGGCAGCGGTTTCTGATGGCGGTGACTCCGTTGGGGCACGGCCCTCTTGCCTCCTGGAGAAGGAAGGAAGGAAGAAAAACGGGGGTGTCAATCCAACCTCAACGGGGAGAGGAGGGGGCACAAAAAGGCAGCTGGGTGCTAATTAATCATCTGTGCTAATTAAAGGATCGTCTGCAGGGCGCAGGAGGGGGCGAGGTGGAAATGGGGAGATGGGCAGGATACAAGTTTAATAATAAGTAAAGCAATAAATAAACCAAAGCACCTGGGTGTTTACAATGGGGATGGAGGATGATGGAGAAGAAAATTTTTATTTCCCTTTCCCATTTTATTTGTGGGGGGGGGGACACAACAACTCTATAAAGGCTTCCAAAACTCACATCCTAGAAATAAGGGGGGAATTGGGCTCCTCTCCAAACTGACCAGAATTCAGATGCTCGGCAACCGACTCGTATTTATGACAGTTGCAGAGTCCCCAGGGTTACATCATCCCCTTTGGTGGCCTTCAGACAAGGAAGCCAGATTCACTTGACAAACTAACAAACTGCAGTGATTCACTTAACATATGTGGCAAGGAAGGTTGTAAAATGGGACAAAATTAACTTTATATGCGTCTCTCGCTTAAGCAACAGATACTTTCGGGCTCAACTGTGGTCATAAGTCAAGGACTTGCTATATGACATTAACTTCTACTTTAAAATAGATACACTCCCTTCCCAGGCCATGTTTCCATAAGGACTGCTCATAAAACAGCCCATTTCCAAGTTTGCAAAGCTTTTCACGCACACAATACATTTAAATCAACTTTCCAACAGGCCCATAAATGACCCATAAACTGCACACAAAAAAAACCCCCACAACCCCCCATCCCTTGGACAAGGCCTGCAAGAAGAAATGACGCAACACACACACCCACACACACACACACCCACCCACCCAGGGCCCCTGGTCCCCCTCACCCTCCACCTGCAACCCCCCCCCAGCCCCTCACCTGTGCAGCCCCCCCTCTCCCCCCCCCCACAAACGAGGCAGGCGAGCCAGCGCCATTGCCTCCCCGGGCGCCACTCCGAAGCGGCTCCCGTTGGCCAACAGAGGGAGGGGACGGGACGGAGGAGGCCTCCCTTACCGGAACCGGGCCTGGAAAACCCTCCAGGCGCTTCCCGAGTTCCACCGACCTCGTGGCCGTCGCGGAAGGCAGCGAGAGGCCGCCCACAAGCCGCGCACGCGCCTCTCCAACCGCCACCGCCCAGCAGCTGCGCCGAAGGCCGGGCACGCCTGCGCAAGGCGCACGTGGCTGCAGGGGGGGGTCACGTGGCTTGGTGGGCTTGGCTTGGCGGCCATCTCACGGGGTGGGCGCGGCCTGGTGGTCACGTGCCCGGGTGGGCGTGGCTTGAAGGCCATGTGACGGGGTGGGCGCGGCCTGGTGGCCATGTGGCAGGGTGGGCGTGGCCAGTCAATGATTATTCATATTTCTATTAACTATTGCGATTCCTCCCCTGCGCCTGCCATGACGCAAAATGGCCACGAGATGGCGGGCTATTATTGTCAATGCAA